TTCATAAGCAGCAGATTTTCTCTCTTCCTCTTTCTTTTTCTTTCCCTTTAGTCTTGTTAATTACTTAAGATTAATCTATCTATTTTATGTACGTATAAAATATTAAAAATTTACAATTACTCAATTATTTACATTCTGCCCCAAAACGCGTCTCTTGGATATTGAATTAATTAATTATGTCTCCTTTCTCTCCCTTCGCAATGTTGTTTACAAATGGCATAATTAGCATATGAGCGACTGTTCAACTTATGCCATGTCGCATTTTGATTAAAAGCAGGCGGAACAACGTTGCGTGCGACACGAGTCCCGCGAGACGACGCTCCGGAATTTGGCTGACGGTCTCTCGCGATATATCGCATTTGTCTCCATATTTGACCGGATCATTCGGAGCAACACGGTCGATCGGTCGGTCGGTCAGTCGGTCTTTGGAGCAAGCGAAATTGCGGGCCAGTGATACAGGAGAGGCTTGAAGCGCGGCTCGTTCCGACGCGCAATGTTCGCCAAGATCAATAGACGGGCCGTGAGCCGTCGTCATCCCAGGCGACAGAGAGCCCGCTGGTTTTGATCTCTCGCGCACGCGCCCTCTCATCTCTTCCACGAACCTCCCAATATTGTACGTATATATTTTATACCCCGCTCTCTCGCTCCCTCTTGACGATAATGCGCTCGCAGCGTCGGATGTAAGCGACAATCGCGCGCCGGAATTCGTGCGCCGGCTCGTGCGTTTACCTGTACTACTGTCGAGACCAGGCACCGCTCGTCTGACGATAACGTCTGGATGCACTGAGACCAATCGTGCGCGGAAGGCCAGAACGTCCGCTGGCAACTTAATTGACGACAGAAGAAAGAGAGAAAGGGGGAGAGATGAAAAGAAAAAGAAAAGAAGAGAAAGAACATAGTCTGTAGCAATGGACAAACATGCTGCGATCTCTGTTTACGAATTTATTTTTCCCAGCTGTTTTCATAAAATTATTATCTCTACTATTCCGTTAAGAATTTTGTATTATATTGAATATATTATACTTATAAATAATATCAAGATTTAATTATATTTTAACGAGCTATTGTGATTAAAAATAATTAATTTTATTTTGTAGCGCATCTGGAGCAATAAGGTAAAATATAATTTTCTGGGTGTCTAAATTTAGGAGTTAATGTTATCGAAATGTACAAATTTAGAAGATGCAAGAAGAGTAAAAAAGAAAAATAAAAAATGGCACAATGTACAATTACTGTCGAAACTGTCGGATCGTAGCTAAATATTGAAAATGTGAAAGAGCAATATTCTACGAAATGAAACGAGGTATGAAAGCTGAAGCATGAAAATGAAGTAAAAAGACGCGAGATGCAACTGAAATAAAATCCAATCAAATTTTTCACGTTTGATATATAAAAGAGTACGCTTGCATCGTTAAAGGCATCGATATTTTTGCATCGAACGATTGAATTATCGTGCGCGCGCATTATATAATATATTATAATAGCTCTCAAGAAAATTTAATATAAAAATTATATTAAACAGAAATTTTATGTTTTAATAAACATAATTACATAAAACAAGATAAAACAAAAGCAATGTACATTATAATATATATATTTTTTGTATAATAATATAATGCAAAATAATGTGCAATATTTCGATATAAGTATAAAAGATGATTTAAGTCAAGTAGAATGAGCTTGCGAGAATATTTTCTCGGTATAATGGCTTTTGTAAATATAATTTTCACACAAAATATACGAAATACATTATTAAAACCGTAAAATGATAAATCCATAAAAATATGTTATGCGCGTATACGGATTATGTAAATAAGTGATTGCGATCAGGATTATGTAAATTAGAGATTGCGATAAAAGATCCTTGGATTAATGGCTATCTCGTACATCGGCAATTAAATTATAATCATAAATCTCAAGCAGATGGAAATATACAAATTACATAAAAGAGATGAAAACTGTCAATGTAAAACGCCCTTCCCTACAGGCAAGTCTAGACTTAGATTAAAGCGCATAAAATTTGCCCTCATCGTGTCCCATCGTTCGTGTGAATGCTTCAATGTCCTGTGTACACAAGGTGTACTAAAAAATCGTAAACTTTATATTACAGACATATTTTACAGCCTTTCATCTTTTCTTTCACGGAAATATTTAGTTATCATTTTTTATTATTTAATATTATAAAAATAATCTCAAGTTAAAATCAAATTTGCGATGTATTTGCATTTTCAAAATTTATTTCTCCAAAATGTCAAAACGTTTTTCATTCTTTTCGATATCGAAACATCGTATATCGTGCGTTGGTGACACATAACAATTGTAATTCACAAATGCGCAGTTTATGAGACTACACCTTTTATGTCTACGCATCGCGTGGCTCGATGGAGGGCGCAAACTCGCGTTTGTACCTACTGCGTATTCAAAGTTTTCCCCGTAACTCGTGAGAATTCGATCCAAAGTTGTGCGGGCGGAAAGGGATGTATATCCGCCGTTGCGTTACGATCCGCGTTATCTTCGCTCCAGCGGACGCGAGGACCGGCGTCTAAATGTCGCACGCACGTACGCGCGTCTCGCTATTATTACGCGCGTGCGTCCTCGAATACGAAAGTAGTATATCGCCGTCCGCTCTTTTGACGCGAGACGCGCTTCAAAAGCGTATATGTTTTCGACGGATATTTTTCACAAAGTAGCGCGAAATATGCATCTCTCTCTCTCTGCAAATGGAATATCTTTTGACGCACCTCTTTCCGCTCTTTTATATTATCACCGTTATATACTCTCATTCGCTTTACATTTGTACGTACGCAATCGAGAGAGTGACGTAACGATACGCTTTTCGCCACTGAAGGTGAATTCTGTGCTGCGCGTAGAAAAAGAAAGAATTTATGTAAAACGTAAAAAAAATGGGTAACTCGAGAAAGTGAATAGAAAAACGAACGAGGTGGAAATGCAATCGACTCCTCGCAACGTCAATACAAAGAGTTAATTAACCTTGGAATAATAAAATATTATTAAGTAATTAAATTGTCAGAGAAGTAAACGGTGCGGACATGATAATAATTCTTTCCTGTATAAGATAGGTATAAGTTAATCACAGGATAAGAGATGGAGGAAGAACGAAAGAGATTGGTTTAGTTTCTCAAGAGATTGTTTAAATACGAGAAAAGATAATGATATTATATTATCATACGAATGCACGTAAGGATGTAATTATTAATTAAATTTTAAAATCACACAGATAATTCAGAAGCAACAATTTTCGTCTATATTACTTTATTCGAGATTTCACAACAATCATTCGTCACGTGCTAAACATGTCTGCTAAAATCTTAACAATCTTATTATTTAAAAACAATAAAGTAGCGGCGTTTCTATACCTGCAAACAATTTTATGCTTTAACACATAATGTCAAAATTTATTGTAAGAGATAGCAAGCTTAATATCCTCTCTAATTTACATAAATATATGCGTATTAGTGAGATCCAATGAGAAGGAAAGGCAAAGACGGAAAGATGAAAATGAATTTAGCGAGACAATTATGAGACAAGCAGACAAGCAGGCAATCACGCTGTAGTTAAAGTATCTTCAGTCTCGATATTATCTTCGTGATATACCAACCATACTCGAAACATCATAATGGCCATTATTTCAATTATAGCGCACATCTAATTGAAAGCTGTAACTTAGCTAGTAGATTGTATACATTTACATGCACTAGTTACCCAACTTAACAAAGTTTCAAAGTACATCTTATATAAGCATCTTATGAAATATCACGCGATCTCCCACGCGAACGCATCAACATTTCCTAAATAAATTTTAATCCAACGAAATCTGGATCTTTAAAAAAAAAAAAAATCCCTAAATAAACACAATCTTCTTCCGCTGCGCATCGAAAATCTACGTAAGATCTACCGAGATCTGAAGGGTAGGGTGACGAAAACTCGTAAGTTCATGAAACAATCAGGCAGTCAGGGTGACAGCGAGCGCAGGCACGACGGCAGTCGTCGGCGAGCAGGCGAGCATGTCAGGGTGGACACAAGGGAAAGAGAAAGAGAGTGGGAGGTAAGGGTTGGTCGAGGGGTGGTTAGAGACAGGTAGGCAAGAGAGCGCGCGGGCAGGCTGGCAGGCAGAAAGGAAGGAACTGCGCCTGCGCGCTGAAACGGCCGGGCTAGACGCGAGAGCCGCCACTCCCGAGCGCGTAGCGGTGTACCGCGGGTGCTGACCGAGTGTCTCCCCGCGAGAGAAGGCGAGAGCGAGAGGAAGCAGGAAGAGCCGCGGGTGAGCGCAGAGCAAAGCGACGACGAAGAGAAGAAGAAGCAGAAAAATGTCTATCGCGAGAAGAGGAATCCCGGAGCGGAGGCAGAGCTCGTGGCAGGACGTCGCCGGCGATCGGAAGGCTCCGGCGCTGTAGGACGCTGCAGGACGAAGGAGGCATCATCGCACAACCTCCAGGAGAGGACTCTCCCTCCTCCGCCGACACCCGTTAACCCCCGCCCGAGTGTGTTACATCCCCCGGTTATCTCTTCGCTTCGAAAACGCAGCGGGAATCGCGAAGGAAACTCGACGCCGAACGGGAAGAAACGGGAGAGAAGGAGAGAGAGAGAAGAGTTTCGCGAAGAGGTTGATAAAGAATCTCGCCAAATTTATCACACGTCTCCGTTTATCGCGTCAAGCGGTGCCGAGGCTCTTGCGAGATCTCGAGTGGCGAAATACGCGAATATATATATATATATATACGCTGTCACCTAAGACGAAAGGAAGGGTGTACGCGGTATATAGGATCATTCAGATTAAACCGAGTGTCGCTCCGAGTGCTCGACGAAAGGGAGACGAGATCGTGAGAGTGATAGTGCTCGTCACTAGGGCGAAGGAGACAGAGAAGGAAAATCGAGAAAAAAAGCGGAGGGCCAGAAGAGAGCACACGGAGAGGAGCCCGACGAGGAAGCAAGACGGGGGTAGGAGGGCGGGACGGGCGGGAGGGAGGGAGGGAGGGTGAGACGCGGACGACACGCAGAGAGACGCCGGGTCAACGCGCCAGGTAGCAACGCCTCGGGACAGCCGTCGACGTTTCCTTCGTCGCCGTCCTCGTCCTAGCCGCCGTCGGGGTGGTGCCCTGGTCCCTTCTCTCTAGAGCGCGGGATGACAACCATGGGGTCCTTCCACGCCGCATCCGGGAGCCTCGTCCTCCTCGCGGCCACGGTCGTCCTGCTGCCCGCCACGCATCGCGCACCGTTTGCATACGCCGCGTAAGTCAACCCGCTTTTATGCACGCTCACTTCTTAGACCCGAACGGGACGTGTTATTGTTCCAAATTTCAGAGTTGTCTTGGTATTAGCTTCTTTCGTGCAAGTTGATGCTGAGAGTGGTGATTTTATCAAGCGTAATATACAGAGTGTCCGGTAACTAACGGACGAATGATTAAGAGCGGATTCTCTGGCCGATTTGGAGACGATTTTTCCTTAGCAAAAATGTTGAGAAGTCAATAATTTTGGAGTTATAAGCGATTGAAAAAAAATGGGTTTTTTGAAAACTAAACGTTTTGGAGTTAAAAGTCTAACATAATTACATTCTTCAGTTAATTTCAGGTAGAGTTTACTATAATAAAATTTTAATTTGAGGCTTAGTTATAAAGATACATAATGACAAATATTGGAAAGTTGTAAAAAATCGTTCCCAAATTGACCAAAGAATCTATTTGTAATCGTTGGTTCGTTAGTTATTGGACACCCTGTATATGAATTTATTGAAATTTCGGCCTAACTGGCCAGTACAATTTAATTAGAAACACTACGTTTCGACCCATAACTTTCAAGATGTTGATTCGACAGCAGTAAAATTACTAATGATTCATTAGTAATTTTACTGCTGTCGAATCAACATCTTGAAAGTTACACTTGAAAAGGACCCGTAGCTAAGGGTCGAAACGTAGTGTTTCTAATTAAATTGTGCCAGTTAGGTTGAAATTTCAATGAATTTGTATGGTTTTACTCATCACTGGCGACTTCATTAATTTTATCGTTATTTAATATATATGAATTATCGTGACGTTTCGTTAATAGCTAGGTATATCAAGTAAGAATGTTTATTAGGGGAGTATTAGAAAATGGGGGATGCTGCGGCAGTCAGGTGTTGACATCTCCTTTTGTACTTGCGCAGCATCCAGAATTTATCGCGCAAATTATTTCCGATCATTATTTTCTATGAATGAAACGTTTGGAGTGCGTGGGAATAAAATAGTTGAGATAGACGTGTATTTAGAAGAAGAAGAAAAATGATTTTATACCTGTCGCAGACATTCTCATTTAAGAAATTGTTTGATATTTTAGAAAAGTCAATATTTGTGTGTCTAGATACTTTTAAAAGATACTTTTACGACGAAACATGTTATTACAAACGTAGATGAACTTTGAGTTTGTTCACTCTTCCAGATATCGCATTAGATATCTCTGATCAATATTTTAATCGCCAATATAATTGTCAACATAAATTTTATACTTCATGATATAAGAACAATGCATATTTTTTACGCCAATTAAATGGGAGACAAAAACACTTTTGCAAGATAAAAATTCATCCTTCCATTTTAATATCGGAAAAATATTGTGTTGGGCAAATCATGTGTGTGGCATCCTCATCGCGTTACGCGTCACTCATTATGCTATATTTCGACGAGAATAACGAAGTTTTATTACGCGATCGTGTCGCTGACGTCAATCCGCTGCCTACTATCAAGTGTGCACACAAACAAGATAGGTTTAGCCTTTGACATAAGGGGCACCACAATGTAAGCAGCGCTCTCCCTTTTGCCCTCTATCTCCTCTCTCTCTCTCTCTGTCTCTGCCGTCTGGATGCATCTTCGTGATTGCATGTAAATGAGCGGATACATGCAGCCACATCGCATGCCCTGGCGTATGTCTCACCACTACGCGCGCAAGCTCTTTCCATGATCACGATTGACACTATTCCTCGCGCTTCCTAGATAATGATGAAGAAGCTCCTCGCGTTTCAAGTCTAACGCACATTTCGCGCAATGCTAAACGTAAATCGTATCAACTCTGCTATGCTTTTTACCGATCGATAGCTGTTGGTCGATAAAAGTTATATATTAAACATTGGATCGTTAATTATTAATTGTTTAATTATTAATACTTTAATGTGTGTGAATTGTTCTCTAATAATATCATCTATTTCCAATAAATAAATAATTATAATTTATCAGTCAATATGTAAACTCATGTCAAATAATTATATAAAATTGAAATCACATAAGAGAGAGTATTAAATTAGACTGTATACTCTTGTAAAGAAAAACTTATGCGCTCTATTTTCTGATATTATTTTCTTCCGAATGTGATTATCTGAATAATGAAAAAAAGAAGTGTAGCAACGCGATTATTATGCATTTATCGTTCACTAATCAGTGGAATAATTTTTCCAAGCGTTTTAACTGCCACGGAACAATTAAAGCGGAAACGTTCGCAAAATACGCGAGATTTATTGTCGATTAAAAAAATACACATGCGACAAGCAGAAACAAAACGATAAACTGTAGACAAGTAGAAAGAATAGAGGTAGAGACGCGAGTAACAGTAACAAAGTGCAAACAATGTCGATACTGAAATTGGCTATACTCGCTCATCCGTTGATCGCGATTCACTAGTGGCACGTATTAATAATCTGCAAATGTAGCAAAGGTTTTCGCGGCACGAGAGAAGCAGCGTTATCGATCACTTTGCACGAAACATTCGACGCGTTGCACTCGTGACCGACGGCTGACTTCACTCGGACTCTTTCCCTGGCGATCGCGCGATACCGTTTCTTTATTACTGAAATCTTGCTATTGGTAAATAACATGTTAGTCGCATCTTCTAATCATCTTATCAATATCTTCTAAATGTATATTAATACAACATATAATATAGTGTAAAACTCGTAGTGTGATTTGAATAGTAATCAAAACAATTAATCGCTATTATTTTTATCGTGCGTGGCGCAAAAAATTCCAAGATAGATCATAGAATATATTCTGGTTCAATTAATTTTCTTTAGACATTTTTGGATTAAAAAATGTTAATCTAAATTTTCTTTATGATGTAAATATGTATATTATCAATTTTTATTACGAATTAAATTGTATGATTGTATCATGATTTGTATGATTGTATCACTATAATTCTTTGAATGAAAACTATATTTAACGTAACGATAAATCATAGGGGTATCTTCTTATTTAAGGCATTAAAATAAATGATATGAGAAACAGCCTCTGCTTTTCATCGAGGTCAGACAGTGAAGGCTTCCCAACAATCTACCGCATTTACATTCCGACGAATATAGAATCATTAATAATCACGGAATAAACGATAACGAGGAGAAGGGGAACATGAGTTTAACTTTTATCGTTACGAGAGAATATAGGGAACTTATAGTCAATGACATTGACTAACATCGACATTATCTCTACGTGTTTTAGTCTAACAAGATACATATATTCCTGACAAGTCTATTAAACAATTTTACACTCTTCAGACATTGCAAATTTCAGGCAATTGCACACGATTCTCTCGTAGTATCGGATAATAATGATTAATAGCGAGTCGGGAGCCGCAGCAATGCCGAAATAGTTTTAATTCGCGAGCGTTATTATATTGAACGAGAGCTGGAATAAACTAGTAGTTACACGCTACAAGAGGGAATATCAATATTTACGCTCTTCCGGCGAGCAGAGCCTCGGTCGTTCCACCTGTTTCCTCCTCGAGAGAGAGTCTCCGCGCGTTTCTCTCTGGCCTCCTCCAAACCCTAACGAGTACCAACCGCGGAGGTACTGTAGTGTGGTATCGGTGATCGCAGTAGAGCTCTCGAGCAGGAGGGTGCTCCCGACGTGGCAGAGCTCCAAATCCTCCTACGCCGCCCATCGCGGCTAGGATCGTCGCCACCCTCGCTCACTCTCGGATCGGTGGCGCGCACCGAGCTCTTTCTCCGTGCAGAGCGAGGAGAGAACAACCTTCTCGCCTCACTAGGCTATCCGGCCCAAGTTCGATCCGAATTTTCAATTACATCACGCCATCTTCATTCAAGTTTCCGCTAGCCTCGAGATAGCCTCATTACTTAAAGTCTGACGATTCTAGCCATCGAACGGGCAATTACTTTCGAACGATGGTAATTTATCACGTAATTGATAAGTTGTTAGATAACGAAGATAAGAGTGGTTGAATGAATGCATCAGCGAAAAATTGATTGAAATAGTGACATAATGATCATTTGTCCATATTTATCAATTTCTGCGTGTAAATCTATTTCTTTTTGTTTATTTGTGTGTATATATGAGTGTCAAAATGGGATATAAAGTAAATTTAAAATTTTAAATATATCTCTTCGACAATATTGTATATTTAAATTTCTTCTGCTACGTATTATTTTATTTTAAGAATAGAGAAAAACGTCCACGTGCCATTTATCAAAATCATAAATTTGGTTCTCCACATCAATCAGTACCATGGAGACTATATATTAAGAGTTGAGATTATATCGCGAGTAATTAATGGCTATTGTCGAAAATATCCGTTCAAGGATTTCGCGGAAGGCGCTACTTATCGATCTGTGATATCTCATGTCGGGACGCGATTCTCGTGGAATACCTTGGCAACTTTCCGGAATTGGAAACGTCCTGGATTATCATCCGGTTGAGAATTGTCGTGTTTTCGTTGCAAGAGCATCGCCCACCGCGGAAACAGACGAAATCGCGCCAAATCATTCGCCTTCGACTGACCCATTTTCGGCGGCAGCGTACAAACGCGGCCACTTCTGCGAGACAAGAGACGGATTGTTGTTTTCTTTCGCATATCTCTGTTTCTAACCTGACCTATGCAACCGCGTTGGCAACACCACTATCGGTTGGAAGGATGACAACCGATGCCACCGAGTGTTTTTCCATTACCGTGTGTTTCGGGCAGAAAAGATTTATCTTTCTCGCGGTTCTACGAATATATCTGGCATCCTGTATTCGTGTAATGGAGCTTTAAATGCGCTTCCGCTTTTGGAATGCTACCATGTATATCCGAATATGAAGTAGAAGTCTGGCAGTAACTGCTGAATTTTCTACGTTACTGGTTAGACCATTAAAAAATTATGTCGTCTATGCAGAGATATTTCGGCAACTACATAAAGCATGATTTATTTACATATTCCAAAGTTTCACATTTCTACGTTTAAAACAATATTAAATAAATGGCATAATTGTAAATGT